ACGACGAAGGACAGGGTGAGCCTCTAGCCCTGTGTCCTTTTCTTAAAAGGAGTGCAATACCCATTTTCCATTATCAAAAGAAAAAAAAATACTGACTTGAGGATTCTGCTCTCCGGACCATTCTCAGCAGGTCACAGAATTTCAAGGCCTTGGTGTTCTTCCAGGAATGGAATACAGGCCAGCTGAGATACAGGTCAAGATCTGCCCCTAAATAGGTGGTCTTGGTAGTGGAACCAGCCCTCCTGAGGGATTCCCCCCTGCAGCCTGAAGAGCAAAACTCTAAGTGAGCTCGATGCGACCTTCCACCTGTTGCAATTTCATGATATCCTTCATGTGGTGGGAAAGCCCAGAATTCTACAGGTGCACTTGGGGAAGGGCTCAAACCCAGCTTTCAGGCGAATGCTTCCGCTCCAATCTGGGAAACCAATTCTGAAACCTTCCAGGACTTAATGGCAACTATCGAGGCAAGTAGCAAAGGCCGCACATGACAACAGCAGAGTGTTAGGGGGAACAGAGCATGGGGGATATTTATGAATGGAGCAGAAGCATGTCCTTCCTTCCTTTAAAGGGAAATCGTGTTTAATAGTGCATTTGGCTCTGCGAAGGTTGGGGATATGCTGGGAATGCGCCCTGGAAGCAAGCGTGGCGTAATGCGCATTGGGGAAAGGTGTCATGGCTTCACGGAGTTGCTGATGGCACCTGAGCCTGCAGAAAGGGCCTTCGGGTTGCGGTGGACAACTCCGTGCAGAGGCTGGCTCAGTGAGCTGCTGCGGAGGAGGAGGAGGAGGAGGAGGAGGCAAACTCCAGGCTAGGCTGGGCACCGTTCGCAATGGAGCAGAATCTTACTGCCAGCATCTTCCTTTCCTCACACAAATCCTTGGTGTGGCTGCACTTGGAATACCGTGCTCCGTTCTGGTTGCCTTACCTGAAAGAGGACATTGCTGAGTTGGAAAAAGCACAGAGAAGGGCAACAAGAACGATCCGGGGCTGGGGCAGCTCCCCTGTGAGTTGCTGTGAGGACAACAGGGACTGCTCAGCTTAGAAGAAAGGTGGGTCAGGGGAGAGATGATAGAGCTGAATAAAATAATGCATGGTGAGGCCAGAGATGACTTGACAGCACGTAACAACCAAAACAATAAACATGGGGAAAGGGACAAACTGCCAGCTTCTTCTGGCTTTCTGGGGCAAGCGCTGTGCCATGATCTCCTCCTCACCAGGAGGCCCACTCCTCTCTCTCCTTTGTGGAGTCACCTGCCACAAGCTGCTGGGTCAGGAAAGCCCCCAACCCTGTTGACTTGTCCACCGATTCCAGGGGAGCTCTCAGACCTGCGCCCACCATAGCTTAGTTCTGCTCACTGCGAGTGCCAGGCCAGCTGTTCTAATTCTGAGCACCCTGCCCATGTTCTCCAGGAAGTGGTCGTCCTTGAAGGGACTCCCTTCCATGGATTCGCCAAATCCCACTTTCAAAGCCACCGAGAGCCAGTGTGGTGTGGCAGAGAGAGTGTGGGGCTAAGGACCTGGGACATCCATCTCCTGTTCTGCGCTCAGCCACAAAGCTCCGTGGGTAACACCGTGCCAAAGCATTGTACAGTTTGACTCTGCAACACGCATGGCAAATCTCTTCACGGAAGGGTTCCATCGCTAGGGCAGCAACGCCAAGAAACCTCCCTCCCTCGCATCCATCCAGGGTCCTCAGCAGGCCTGGCCTTTGGCTCTGGCCTTCAGTGACCACCAGAAGACAAACTCACTGCTTTATGTTTGGGTTCCGTGTGTAGCATTTGCAATCAGTAGCGCCAAGGAAGACAAAACACTCCAAAAAGTGTTTTAAACCATCTCAGCTCAAATTTTACAAAGGTTTTGACAATGAATGTTCACTTTCAAACATTTTTCCCCAAGGTCATTGGTTCAGGATTTTTTTAAAAAAATCAATGGAATACATTGAAACATAATCAACACAACTTCGAAATGCCACACAAACGCTGGGGGCCACAAAATGCTCTCCTTGCCAATGGTGCTATGTACCCTCAGGTTGGTCCTGGCTTGGCCAGCTCTTTGGGCTCCTCATTTTCCTTTTGAGTTCCAGAATCTGATGCAAAACATCATTAAGGATATAAAGAATAATCGTTAATAATATAAATGCTCTGACTTATGGAGACCCTATGGGAGAAAGCCCTCCAGAAAGCCCTGTTCTTGGCAGCCCTGCTGAGTTCGTTTCAACTCCAGGCTGTCGGTTCCTTTATGGAGTCCATTCAATGCATAATTGGTTTCCTTCTGCTGCTTTCACTTTGCATGTCCTTGATATGTGCTACCCCTTACCCAGACTGCTATTTCCTGGGCCATGAGCTGTAAACTAATTGCCAAGGAACCATGTATTATGCATTTTTAAGAACACCCCTGGAACCAGAAATGAGAAAATTGAAGCTGTCACACTTCAGGTACATCATGGGAAAGCATGACATGCTGGAGAAGACCATCGTGCAAGGTAAAGGCAAAGGCAGATGAAGAAGAGGATGACCAAAAAGGAGATGGATCAACTGCATAAAGGAAGCCACAGCCTTGAATTTGGAAGAGCTCAGCATGGCTGCCACAGGTAGGACCTCTTGGAGAGCGCCCATTCATAGTGTTGGAGATGACTTGATGGCAAGTAACAGCAAAGACTGAATAACCTCCAGCAGTCCATGCTTTGGATGGTTTGCCTCAAAGCATTCTCTTTGAAGGCAAGCAGAGTCGAAAGTATTGCAATGCTTCCAACACGATCTTATTCTATTATGGTGTCTTTCCTGTGTGTGTTCTCTGATGGGCTGTAAATTTTGTGTTCCATCGAAAGCTCTTTCCACACTCCAAGCAATTGTATGGGTTCTCTCCTGTATGGATTCTCTGATGAGATGTGAGTTTTGAACTTGAGTTGAAGCTTTTGCGACATTCAAAGCAAGTATACGGTTTCTCCCCCCTGTGGATTTTCTGATGTGTGGTAAGGCTTGTGTTTTGACTGAAGCTCTTCCCACACTCAAAGCATGTATATGGCTTTTCCCCTGTATGGATTCTTTGATGGCAAGTGAGGTATGTGCTATTACTGAAGCTCTTTCCACATGACAGGCATTTATAAGGTTTCTCTCCTGTGTGGCTTCTGTTATGTAAAGTGAGGTGTGAGCTCTGAGTGAAGGTCCTTCCACATTCCAAGCATTTATATGGCTTCTCTCCTGTATGCAGTCTCTGATGAGAAGTCAGGTGTGCATTCTGACTGAAGGTCTTTCCACACTTCAAGCATTTGTATGGTTTTTCCCCTGTGTGAATTCTCTTGTGTAAAGTAAGGTACGTGCTATGACTGAAACTCTTTCCACACTCCAAGCATTTATATGGCTTCTCCCCCTGACTGCTTTTTTAAAAGCTTGACCTCTTTTTCCTTTGCAACCTGCCAGAACCCAGAAATCCCCACACAGCTTGGCTGATGAGAATCACACAGCAAATATTCAACATTTGATGGAACGACTTGATTCAGCATATGAGGGGCTGCTTCGGAATTAACTGCAGGAAGTGGGAATCTCAATCTGACTGGTAGGGCACAGTTGGCAAAGGGAGAACTCCTTGGGAAAGTCAGAAGGACTCCTTGCTGGCAGTTTAGGCCAGGCTCCTGTTAGGGATGTGCTGGGAGTCGTTCTAGGATGCGCAGGGGTTTGCTCTGCAGCCCTTCCTCCACATCAGCAGGAGGGTCTCTTGCCCAGGGGCTGAATGATGTCCCAGCTGTGAACTTCTGAGCTCCCTGCCCAGTTTTGCCCCCCCACCCCCTCATGTCAAGAACGATGCAGAGAAACTGGAAACAGTTCAGAGAGGATGGTGAAGATGGCCAGGGGGCTCGTAGCAAAGCTCTCCTTTAGGAGGAGATTCTGCGCAGACTGGTTGCTCCCTGCTTTCCCAGAGGTGGCCTGACTGTGGACAGTTGCCGAGGAGCTCCGGCAGGGGGGCTCCCGCACCCGCCCTGCTTGGGCATCCTGTGGACTGGGTGCCCCCGTGTGGCCGGAGGGATGGACTGCACCGCCCTCCGGTCTGATCCAGCGGGGCTTTTCTTGCGTACCCGTTCTTGTGTTTGGCCCCTTCCTCTGATTCTCTGCATCCCCCTTTTGGCACCAGGGTCAGAGGAATCTGCGGCGTGCGGGATTTTGCGGCAGGCAGATGAGCTCCGTGCTTTGGTTGCAGTTTGGGAGTGCTCTCCGCGCAAAAGCGGAGGAAATGCGGCGCATCCAGCCGCGATTCCCAGATCCGGCTTTTCCTGCCCTCCCCGAGGCAGCGCTTCCGGGGAGGTAGGGCAGGAGAGGCAAGAAACGGGCGGGGGGCCGACCACAAAGTCCAGCTTGACCCGGTGGTCGCTGGAGTGAGATCTGCTTCGTGGGATCCGCGAGGCTGCGGGAAGGTGGGCTGGTGGGGTGGCGGGGGGGGGG